TCCCTCTGCAGCACAGCGACCAGCCCAGCCAAGGCAGGTTGTCCTCAGATGGCTGTGGGGGAGGATGGGGCAAATGCAGAGCCAGGAGCTGACAGGGTAAAGTAAAACCTGGTGTAATACCTTGAACAGGGTAAGAAGGGGAGAACAAGGGAAAACGAGGGGAGAAGGGGGGAAATGTGGGAAAGTGAAAGAAAATGGAGAAAATAAACTGAAAGGAAGTGGAGGAAAAAACAAACAAACAAACAAAAGAAAGTGGAGAGGAAAAAAAAAGAAAGAAAGCAGAGGAAAAAAAAACCCACAAAAGAAAATGGAAAAACACAAAAGAAAACAAGGAAAAATAAGGGACATGAGTGAAAATGGGGAAAACCAAAAGAAAATGGGGAAGAAAAAGAAAAAAGAAAACAAGGAAAAATGGGGGAATATGGGGAAAAACAAGGAAAAAACAGGGGAAAGATGAGAAGATGGGGAGAGCATTTGAAAACTCGGGGAAAAAAATGGAAAACTGAGAAAAAAAAAACCATCGGAAAACGGAGGGGAAAAAAAGAGGAGGTGGTTGGAAAATAAGGGAAAACAATGGAAAACTGGGAAAAGAATGGTGAACAGAGAAAATAAGGGGGGAAGGTGGAAAGTGGTGGAAAACAAGGAAAAAAAAGAGAGGAAATAATGGAAATGGATAAAAATAGGCAAAAACAAGGGAATGCAAAGGGAAACTAGGGAAAATCAAGTGAAATTCAGAGAAAACAGGGAAAGACCATGGGAAATGGGAAAAGAAGGGAAAAGAAAACTCTTGAATATGGGGCAAAAGAGGGGAAAAGAGGGGGAAAGAAGTGCCTCCACTGTGAAGCTCTGGGAATATCACCTGGTGGAACGGCCACATTTTCTGTACTTTAGCTTCTTTTGCTCTTTCAGTCTTTGTAGGAGCCGTTGCCTGACATTGTCTTGCCTGTAATGCTTATTTATTGTAATTAGCAAATTAGCCAATTTTAACTCCAAGAAGAGTATTAGTTGTATTGGTTCATCATCCTTTATTAGTTCAGCATCTTTTTAAGCTCAAACAAAAGAGACCAAATGGAGACCCTCTGATTGCTGCCATGATGCCATTGCTGTTGTCCTCCCCAGGACAGACCCCCATCCTCAAAGCCAGTCAGCAGACCAGGCTCATGGTGTGGACATCGAGGGGCTGACCCTAAAAGAAGGGAACGATGGAGGACATTCCCTAAATCTGCTCCTCCTCTTTGCAGCTCCTGAATGGAGGTTGTGTTCTCAGCCTCTGCTCCCAGGGAATGGGGGTGGGATGGCAGGGGATGGGCTCAGGGTGCAATGGGGAGGATCGGGTTGGAGGCTGGGAACAATCTGTGCTGCAAAGAGTGGTCAGCACTGCACAGCTGCCCAGGGCAGTGGGGAGTCCCCATCCCTGGGGCCGTTCCAGGACCACATGCTGGGGACTCACCTTGATGATGTTGAGCAGCTCGTGGCGGTCGATGCAGCCGTTCCCATCCACGTCGTACAGCTTGAAGTACCAGCGCAGCTTCTGCTCCATCTTCCCACGCAGCACCAGGCTGAGGGCTGCCACGTACTCCATGAAGTCGATGTACCCATCCTGGGGCAGAACAAAGCAGGGACCCGCTCAGTGCCTCTGTGCCGTGATGAGGATGTGCTCCTCAGCCATGGATCTGGAGCTCAGCACCACTCTGCGCTCCAGAGTTTTAAAGCCAGCTTAAATCTGGATTGGGAACCTCTGATCCACTCCTCTCACCATCACGCTCCCCGTATTTGGGTTTTGTGTCAGGATGATGTAATCTGAATTGGAACTTGGCCTCAAGATGTGGTTCATTGTAGCGCACAGAGCTCATGGAAGAGCTCTGAGCAGTGCTGCATCCCTGGGTGGGTGATCACTTCTGAACCTCTTAAGGAAGGACAGCAGGGAGGGGACAGCTTGCACAGGAACAAGAAGCACAGCTGTTAATTAACAGAGCTGCTTCTCAGCACTGTCATTACTGGGACACAGTGTCGGGAGGAGGAACATTTTGGGAGACAGCCAGGGGTCCTGGTGTGCTGGTAAGAGCTACGTGGGATTGATTGAATCCATGGAACACCTGGAAACTGCTTCCTCCAGAGTGTTACAAAGATCTGTATGGTATTTGAGTCTGGAATTTGAATCCAGAATTTGAGCCTTTACTGTTTAATACTATATGTATTCTTGAAGGACAATGAAAGGCTCAAGAAAGCTCCAGCTTTCAGCCTCACCTCCTCCTGCTGGCATCTCATGGTTCAAACGAGCTCAACAATTAACACAGTGCAGTGATATCTCAAGATTCATAAGTGAACTTGAACGAGGCTGTTAGATAGAGGAGTTACTCCCTATGGCTGTCACCTGTGTCGTTGACACACACTGATTTGCCCCTTGTATTCTGCTGCCTTACACCAATGTCCCTTGGTGTTGTGACAAAAAGCCCCACACTGCCCAATGCTGCAGGGGTTGGTTTGCTGCTGGGAGTCGTTACTGATGGTCTGGATGAGGGGACTGAGGGCATCCTCAGTAAGCAGGGATGTAAGTGAGTAGGGGTTGGACTCTATCCACAAGGAATGGTGATGGGATGGGAGGGGATCACAGAATGACAGAATGGCCAGGGTTGGAAGGGACCTCAAGGATCATGAAGCTCCAATCCTCCACCGCAGGCAGGGCCACCAACCTCCACATTTCACAGCAGCCCAGGCTGCCCAGGACCCCATCCAACCTGGCCTTGAACACCTCCAGGGATGGACGGGGCATCCACAGCCTCTCTGGGCAGCTGTTCCAGCAAGAAACACCAACTATGATTTGTTCAGGGCAGGAGGGAGTGCCATTCATCACCTCCATAGGTCAGACCTTTATCCCAGGGAACAGCAATAGGACGGCAGGGGATGGGCTCAGGGTGCAGTGGGGAGGCTCAGGTTGGAGATTGGGGACAATCTGTGCTGCAAAGAGAGGTCAGCACTGCACAGCTGCCCAGGGCAGTGGGGAGTCCCCATCCCTGGGGGTGTTCAGTGACCACAGGGATGTGGCACTTGGGGACGTGGTCGGTGGGATGGGTTCAGGTTGGACTGGGGATCTCAGAGCTCTTTCCCAACCTGAATGATTCCACGATTCTGTGGTTCTAAAGGGCACATCCTTTCTGGCAGAGAACTCACCTTGTTCATGTCGAAGGTACGGAACATCTGCTCGATGTACTCGTTGGCCTGGGGGTCCAAGCCCCGCAGCCCGAAGAACTGCTTGAACTCGTGCTCTGTCAGCTGCCCGGAGGGACACTCCGTCATGAACTTCTTGTACCAATGGTGGATCTCCACCGCCTGCAGGTCGTCCACCGTGGAGCTGTTGTTGTTTCCCATGGCCAGTAATAGGAACCCTTCAGGAATGGTCCTCCCCGTCCCGCTGCTCTCACAGCAGTGCCCCTTTGCTCCGTTCAGTGTTAGTCCCAAAGTAAAAACCTCTGACCTTCCCCAAGCCCATTAGGAACGTTAATCTGCTTAGAGGCTGCTTTACAGACCCCAAAGTTTTAATGATACAAACATTCTGCTTAGAATGGAAAGAAGGTGTGAGATAATCCAGCAAAGCTTTGCTATTCCGGGAGCTGCATTGGGGTGAGGAGGTTAAGCAGATGCCTCAGAGCTGCACTGCTTTTGGACGCTGCCCTGTTTTTAAGCTTGGTATAATTAGACACAACGCTGCAAGATGTGGGGTTTGGTGTGGGGTGAAGGTCTGCCCCTCTGTCTGGATTCATAGACTTGGAGGTTGTGGGTAATTTGGTGTATAGGACCAGGAATGACCCATCAGCATCAGGCCCTGTGGGAAAAGTCCTGTCTCCACACACTGCAGAGAGGAGCAGATGAGGAACCAAACCCTGCTGTGACTCTGCTGGCCCCAGAAACAATACAGAGGGGCAGCCAACCTCTGCAGAACCCATCTCACAGAGCACAAAGTGGTGATGCCACTCTATTAATCATAGAATCACAGAACCATAGAATGGCCTGGGTTGCAAAGGACTACAGTGCTCACCTGGTTCCAACCCCCTGCTATGTGCAGGTCGCCAGTCAGCAGCCCAGGCTGCCCAGAGCCACATCCAGCCTGGCCTTGAATGCCTGCAGGGATGGGGCATCCACAGCCTCCTTGGGCAACCTGTTCCAGTGCCTCTGGCTGAAAAACTTCCTCCTCATATCCAACCTAAGCCTCCCCTGTCTCAGTTCTGGACATTTTAACTCCTCCTGCCTCACCTCTCCCAACCTCCTTTATACAATACAGCTTTATCTCAAAGTACCACACACACCAAATTGCTCAACGTGACCCCGGTGCTTGCAAAACCTTTGTGTTCCTAGGGGAGGTCATGGACAGAGTCCAACTCTGCCTCTGCTGCCCATGTTGCTGAGACACCAAATTTCAAGTTTTGTTCATATTCGGTCTAAGTGCATTTTAAAACACAGCAAAGCAAAGGGCTTATGAATCATTACTTAGCACTGGGAAGCGTCTGCTGTCTTGAGCACTCACAATAAGTGGAATTTGGAAAGAAACACTGAATGAAAAGCTGTTTTTGTGCAGAAAGACACCGTGATATACAGTAATTCCCATGAATCACATAATTGGCAGCTTGTAGGCAAAATAAAATAGGCATACTATTTTGTTAACAACGCGTAGGAATTAATTTTTTCTTTGATAATAGATCAACACACTGCAGATGCCATGGCAGAATGTTTTACTAATAGACAAAAGAAACTTGCCTTGCTTTGCTACCAGTCAGATCTTTTTTCTTCGCTCTGTGCTGCCAATGAGAATCTGTGCAATCTCATCTTTTCAAGAGGCAGATGGATTTTTGCAGTAGCAGGACCAAATGAATGCAGTCTTTTGTAGGAGGAGACACGAGGGCTGCTTTTCCTAGTAGGACTGTCCCGTTACCTTAATTTTTCTTATAAATGATGTAAATTCATCTTGCACATCTTACAACAGTGTATGCTGATGAACAGGGAAATATATTTTGGCACCCTTGACCAGTTCATCAAACCTAGCTGTAGATTACTCTTCCAGATACCGAAGAATTTCCCTAACGTGTAGCCAGGTATGTGGTGATAAGTGGAAAGAGTTTTCTTCCCAATTCCAGGATAAATAACAAAAGAAAATCATCTCCTGCCCCAGCTTCTCCTGGGCCTGCCATAGGGGAGGTGACACCCATCTCCTGGAGCCAGCAGGACCAGTCAGCAGAGCACCTGGCTGTGGGTCACTGCCCAGGCTGTGGGAAGTGCTGTGGGAGTGGGGATGGGCACTGGGGGACCGCACAGGACTGGCTGTCTTCAAAGGTCTCATCCAACTGAACTGTTCTATTCCTATTCTAGTCTAGTCTGGTGTATTCCCATTCCCATTCCATTCCATTCCATTCCCCTTCCATTCCATTCCTATTCTATTCTATCCCATCCCACCCCCTTCCATCCCACCCCCTTCCATCCCACCCCATCCCATCCCACCCCTATTCCATCCCATCCCATCCCATCCCATCCCATCCCATCCCATCCCATCCCATCCCATCCCATTCCTATTCTATCCCATCCCACCCCCTTCCATCCCATCCCTATTCCATTACATTCCATCCCATCCCATTCCTATTCTATTCTACCCATTCCGTCCCGTTCCATTCCATTCCATTCCATTCCATTCCATTCCATTCCATTCCATTCCATTCCATTCCATTCCATTCTTATTCTATCCCATCCCATCCCAATTTCTAACTCCCCCTTCAGATGAGGGGCTCTGCTTTCTGTGCACATCCTCGCATGGAGCTGTGTCTGTGTGTCAGCATGCAGTCCTGTGCTCACCTACAAATAGCAGTGTGGGGCAGCCACCAGACACATGGATTGATTTGGGAACCAGGTGTGTGTCTGTATGGAGCATGGGGCTGTATAGGGCTGTATGGGGCGCACAGGGCTGTAACAGTATGGGATATAGGGATGTATGGGAATGTGTGCAGTATGGGGCTGTATGGGATATGGGGCTGCATGGGATTGTATGGGGTATGGGATTTATGGGAGTATAGAGCTGCATGGGAACGCAGGGCTGTACGTAACCATAGTGTTGTATGGGATGCATGGAAATGTATGGTGGTACAGGGCTGTATGGGGGCTGTATGGGGGATATAGGGCCATATGGGGGGTATATGTGTCTGGGGCCAATGAGCTGTTTGGGGTACAGGGCTATATTGGAGCAAGGAGCTGTATGGAGTCATGGGGTTGTATAGGGACATGGGGCTGAATGGGGCCAAGGAGCTGTATGGGAGCATAGGGTTGTATGGGGGCCATAGGACACTATGGGGCCACGGGGCTGTATGTGGGCAGGGGGCTGTATAGAGCTGTATGGAGCTGTATGTGGGCAGGGGGCTGTTTGGGGCTATATGGGACTGTATGGGTATGTATGGGGCTGTATGTGGGCAGGGGGCTGTTTGAGGCTATACAAAGCTCTATGGATATGTACGGGGCTGTAAGTGGGCAGGGGGCTGTATGGGGCTGTATGGAGCTGTGTGTCTCCATGTACTTATGGCACCAGGTAACAGTTTGAGCAGAGCCAACTCCCATTCACATCATCCAGGGCGCATTAATGGAACGTAATGAGGATGAAAGTGAAATAAATTAGCCGTAGGCAGCTGGCAATTAGAGAAATTGCTCTCTCCCAGCTAATTAAAGCGAAACAAAGCCGGAAGCGGTCACGGGGAGGTCGGGAGCCGTTGGCGGGGGGCGTGGCCACGAAGGGGGCGTGGCTATGCCAACAAGGTGAGGCCCCGCCCCCCGCCTCGACTGACCATTCACCTCCTTGTTATGGGGCGGGGTTTCGAGGCTCGGCTCTGGATTGGCGGTTTACTGCCACGTGTCCGCAAACAGCTGTGGGCGGTCTCCTCAGCTCCGCAGCTGATTGGCTGTCCTGCCTCGAGGGGGCGGGGCTAGGGGCCGGAAGTGGCGGCGGCGCGTTCCGGTGCTGAGGTGGCTGCGGCGGGTCGGATCGTGGCGGCGTGCTGTGCTGCGGTAGGTCGGTGCTTTGTGCCCGTTCTTTGGCGCTCCGCCACGGGATGCGTTCGGCCCGCTGTGTCGGGGGGGGAAGCGGGGCGCATTGCGAGGCGGCGGGGAGCGGCGGTTGGGCTCCGAGGCGCTGCTGCGGGCGGCGTCTGACGGAGATCGTGAGCTGCGCCCGGGGCTGCGGTGCGGCAGCGGCGCCTGTTTGCCTCCGGGAGAAGGAAAAAAAGAAAGAATTGAAGTTAATGTGTGTGTAACGTGTGTATGATGCAGGAGAAGGTAGTGCCGAGTCCTTCATCTGTAACTGAGTTACAGAAGTGGGGATGGGTGAGGTGGGGATGGGTGCCTTTGTCACTTGTGTGCAAGCAGTGCAAATCTGTCGTGAGGTCGTTGTGAGCCCTGAGGAGCTGCGGATCCCCACTGCAGTCATAGAGCCATAGAATGGCCTGGGTTGCAAAGGCCCACAGTGCTCATCTGGTTCCAACCCCCTGCTGTGTGCAGGTCGCCAACCAGCAGACCAGGCTGCCCAGAGCCACATCCAGCCTGGCCTTGAATGCCTGCAGGGATGGGGCATCCACAGCCTCCTTGTGCAACCTGTTCCAGTGCCTCACCACCCTCTGGCTGAAAAACTTCCTCCTCATATCCAACCTAAACCTCCCCTGTCTCAGCTTCAAACCATTCCTTCTTGATCCTTGTGAGCCCATAGGAGTGGTAGAACCCCTCTGCAATCACTGTGAGCCCAGAGGAGCTGTAGCTGCTAGCTACCAGCTGTGCTGTTTGCACACTGGGTGGGGCAGTGGGGTGTGCACTGAGCTGCATGCATCCTGTGTTTGCTGACTGCTGTTTATGAGGGAGTTGGTCAGTCCTGTGTCGTATGCTCAGCTTTAGGACAGTGTTTGGTATTATTTCCCACATTGCTTTCCTCAAGAACTGGCTTCTCATGGCTTGGGTGGAGGTTCTGTTCTCTGGGGGAAGAGGAGCTATGTCTCTGGGCCCAAAGGGGTGGGAGTGGGGTTAACCCACATTGGTGGCTGTTTGCCAGCAACACTCAACAGGGCTCAGGATTGGGGCAATTTTAATGACTTTATCAGTGATCTGCATGAGGTGGTCAAGTGCCTCCTCAGGAGGTTTGCAGATGGTACCAACTTAGGCAGGAACATTGATCTGCCTGAGGTTAGGAGTCACAGAATCGCAGAATCACTAAGGTTGGAAAAGACCTATAAGATCATCCAGTCCAACCATCCACCTATCACCAATGGTTCTGCTAAACCATATCCCTCAACGCAACATCCAAACGTTCCTTGAACACCTCCAGGGAAAGGGACTCCACCACCTCCCTGGGCAGAACCCTTAGAGTTGGAGGGGACCTTGAAAGGCCATCAAGTCCAATTCCCCTGCAATGCACAGGGACATTACAGCTCCATCAGGTTGCCCAGGGCCTGCTCCAGCCTGCCCATGACATTCTGGAAAGGATGATCAACCACATCTCTGGGCAA